GGGAGTTGAGAGCAATGAACAAGATGGGGTGATAATTGATGTACAAATGGAGGAACTCTTGACATAGATCAGATCTGGCATAGATGGAGATCAGTTTGAAATTCTACTTTTGAGCAGCAGAAACAATGAAGAATGTTCCTGTTTCATCAGCACAGAACAGCCTTTTCCATACTGTATACCAGGGGTCTTCAAACTTGGCCCTTTTATGGCTTGTGGACTTCCACTCCCAAAATTCCTCAGCCAGGCATACTGGCTGAGGAATTCTGGGAGTGGAAGTCCACAAGTCATAAAAGGGCCAAGTTTGAAGATCCCTGCTGTATACCATTTTGCTCACCAAGACATTGGAAGGGAGAGCTAAACCCCTTTAATGGGTTACTATGGACCAATTTTGACTTGAGAATTTACTGGGACAGATCAGATAGGATGTAACCTCAGCAACTATTATTTCTGCTTGTCAGTTTGTAGAGTGAAAGAATGTAGGTGTCTTGAAGAGATAACAGCTACCACATACTCAATCCTTATTGGTCTTAAATGATTAAATTAACCAATACAAAATTAACTCCTGGTTATAGGAAGTGATCAGTGATCCTAGTGGGTAGCGTGTGTAACATCTATTAAACTCCTTTGATCTAGGACAAATATATTTATAGGCCAAACTCAAGTATTTATGAGAAATGTGGTATATTTGCAGCTCCAAATACATCTGAATGACACTGATTATTTGGGCCAATTTCAGCTGGGCTTTTGTGCAGGGTATGGTACTGAAATTGCTTTAGCTACCTTGGTGGATAATCTATACTGGAAGCTGGAGAATAGGCTCCCTGGTTCTTTTCCCTTGAATCTCTTGACAGCTTTTGATAACACTGATCTTATATGGCAGGAATGTAATGTGTCATGCCAAAACCACACCCACCCCATTGCCGGCAATGGGAAAAAAGTCGTGATATGTCACGGCATGTCACATGATGTCATGCGTTTGACCCCTGTGTTATATGGTATTCTATTCTAGACTATGTGGTAGGATTGGGTTTCAGAACCCTATAGGTAGTTATTACTTATCAATGTGGAACTCTACTGCTAAGCGATGCAGTCATATGGCATGATGTCATATACTAAGTATATGTCACATTGGGGTTCAGTTGTTGTTTTTTTAAATACTGCCCAAATCCAGCAGTGATTATTCTAAAATCAGCTTCTAATCTTTACCCAGTGTATTCTAACCATTACTACTTGTTTCTACCTGAACTAATATAGCTGCTTCTGGTTCCCATGGTGACTGGCAGAAGCACTAGATAATGGCATGTTCTGTTACGACTACATGCAAAAAAACAGGCTGCTACCCTGGTATTTTTTGGCTTGCACTATGCAGTAATGCTGGATAGATATACTTTGCATACTGGAAACAAAGTGCTGATTAGTGCTATTGGAAGATTCGCTTTGCTAGGAGATATTTTTTATGTTGTATGCTTCAACGGTTACATAAAATACCCTAGATTTTAGCCTTAAAATAACTGCTAATCCACTCTTGGATTACTTTATGTACCAACTTCCAGTTCTACAGAAACATTTTTTCCTGACAGCCTACTTCATCAAATGAATCATTGAGAGAAAAGCATTTATGCACATACATAAAGTGTTTGTGTGCAGGATGTATAAAGATGATCCTTAAAAATAATTTAGATAAAGTAAGTGCCTTACTGGATGTATCGGATACTTGCAATGTTTAAATGCTGTCTTTGATGTGTATTAGCTATCTAAAATGTCACTGTTATAAGATGAAGTGAGGGGCACCTGTAGCCAGATTGGTCTTTTTATCTTCAGCTCCCTTGCAGTATTGCCATTTCATATTATCTTACACATGATTTAAAATTACAGCAGTGCTCACAGGAAGTAAAAAGATTTCAGATTTTTTGCTGAACATAATGTGACATCTATCTATCTATCTATATCTATCTATCTATCTATTGTTCTATCTTTCTATCTTTTATTTATTTATTGTAAACAGTATCCCAAATGTATGGATCAGCTTAAGTAATGATCTTAAATTCTGCTTGTACTGATTCTCCCTTGCTACTAACCTTTTTTTGAAACCGGATTGGGATACTTTCTTCTCTTCCCTCCCCCCGCCCCCCAAAAATGACGTTGGCTTTAAAATAATTATTTTTGCTATCCATTCTACTTGAGATATTCAATATCACTTTTCATGAATTGTTTCTAAAGCCTCATACTTTATACCTTGTATCGTCCCTTTCCCCATATAGAGTGTAAGGAAAAGGGAAACAAAATTGCTACACTAGCTTGCTATACTAACTTGAGTTGCGGAGCATTAATAATTTAGTACAATTCTATTTACTGCTCATTTTGTTTACAAATATTAAATCAGTAAGTTTCTAACTGTAATCTTAAGTTTCTTACTCTAATTAGATGTGCATTGATATATTGCTGAGATAGTTTGGTTCTATTAGAACAGAGGTCTCCAACCTTTCTCAGTTGGCAGAGCGGAAAGAAAGGGAGGGGGAAGCATTTTACGCACACACACACATGCACAAACAGGGCCGTGAACATGCATGATGCAAATGGGGCAGTGCTAGCGCCCGTGTGACACTCACTAGCACTGCCCCATTTTTGCCGCATGGGTGCTAGCACCACCCCATTTTTGCTGTGTGGTGCCATTTTTGTAACTAGCACCACACGGCACTAGCACAAGTGGTAAGTGCTTGCACACACATGTGTGCACTGGTCAGCCTATCCCATGGCCCGGTGGCCAGCAGGCCATGGCCCAGTAGTGGGCTGCAGCCCACAGGTTCGGGACCCCTGTATTAGAACGAACGTAATGTCACAAAATTCCAGCAAAGCTGTTTTTTCTTAAAAGAAACACTCGTTAAATCAGTGGTTCTCAACCTGTGGGTCAGGACCCCATTTGGGGTCGAATGACCATTTCACGGGGGTCGCCAAACAAGGCTGTCCGCCATTTTCCCCCCTTTTCTTTGGTCACGCCCCTGGCACCCGGTGATGTATAAGTGATTGGGGGTCACCACAACATGGGGAACTGTATTATGGGGTCGTGGCATTAGAAAGGTTGAGAACCACTGTGTTAAATGGATAGCTCTGCTGTGAAAAAAAAATAACCATTAAAAGCGCTGATTTGAACAAATCCCTCTCAGGGTTCAGTGAAACTCTGAAAAGGTGCAAAAGTACAGGTAGTCCTCAACATACAGTTCATTTTAGTGACCCAATCAAAGTTACAACACTGAAAAAAGTGACTTAACGACTATTTTTCAGAGTCATGATTGTTGTAGCATTCCCATGGTCAGGTGGTCAAAATTTGGATGTTTGGGAATTGATTTATATTTATGACAGTTGCAGTGTCCTGGGGTCATGTGATCACCTTTTGCGACAAGCAAAGTTAATGAGGAAGCCAGATTCACTTAACAACCTTAGTAACAGCAGTGATTCACTGAACTGTGGCAAGAAAGGTCATAAAATGGGGTGAAATTCACTTAAGTTGTTTCACTTAGCAACATAAATTTTGGGCTCAATTGTGGACGTAAGTCGAGGACTACTTGTATTGCAGATGAGTTACCACTTGGTAGAGTCCTGGGAAAGATTTTTTGAACTGACAGCATGAGATGTCTTCTCTCATGTTTCTTATGTAGAAGTCAGTTCATCGTATCCGGGTCTTTTTAAGCATATTTGAAATAATCTCCTAACTCATCTTTTGCATTAAAGCTGTTGAAAAATTATACTGCCATAAGCATGTGGACAGGCACACAGATGGGGGGGGGGAGTGACTTAGTCAAAGGAATTCATGTCACTTCCCCCTGGTGTGACATGAAATTCATCTTTAACACACACACACACACACCCCGCGCTTTTCCATCCCATCTTAGAATGGATACAGAAAGTGATTGTATGCTAAGGGGTGAAACAGGTTTCGGATGCCTTGTTGTCTCCCGAGCTCCTTCCTCCCAAATTTTGTTGCGCTGATCTGTTGCTGCTTGGTAGCACGGTCGGAGGTGTTTTAAAAGAGGTGCACATATTGTGATTTTTATTGTTGTTGTTGTTTTAATTTCAGTACAGCAACATCCCCTCCATTCAGCTCCAAGACAGACTGCAGGCAGTGGCTCTTCAAAAGGAGCCGAGCTTTTTATACCTTCGACCCAAGCCAGACACTCAACCAGCATTGGTAGCGGGGGAAATGAAAGAAGCGTCGCCATAAATTGAAACTTTAAAACAAAAAAAAAGCAACCCTAAGATTCGACTCCGCCTTCTTAAAGGAGAAAGGCGTCGTAAGGAAGGGGGGAGGTACTCGGCAGTCACGTGCACAGTCGCCCCCAGCTAGAGTCTTTCCTAAAGCAACAGCCTCCAGCGCGTGCAGGCTGTTAGGCCTACGTCACCGTGCTGACGTAAAAAAGACATCCTCTGGTGGGCTCCGCGTAACTGAGCTAAAACAAAGGAAGGACTCCTCTGGTTGCTTGGGAGGAGGGGGGGCGGAGAGGAGGTGGAGCCGGAGGGCTTGCAGCCGATTCAGACTGGCTTGGCAACGGCGATTGGTAAGCAAGGAAGTCAATAGGCATGACGTCACTGTTCCTCGGCTGGCTGAGTGGTAGGTGGAAGGCTTCCTTAGGGAGGGGGCGGGACCAGAGCATCATGGAGAGCGGCGGAGGTGGTGGGTTCTGGATGTTGGCGGCAATCGGGCAGGGGAAAGGTTCTGAGAACGTTGGTAGCGACGCGGTCGGGCGCTCATTGAGGGAGGCGGCGCGGTCGGGTTCTTTCTTGGGATGGGCGGATGGAGTCGCACTGATTATCCGGGAAGCTATTGCAGGGGGTGGTGTGGCAGACCTGGGCCTACTGGTGCAAGCGGTGGCCGCCGCCCCCGAACACAAGGAGACTCCTCACAGCTCCCGTAAGGTACCGGCGTCTGGATGGGGAGGGGGAGGCCCGGGTTTGGTTTCTCGCGCCCCTCCTCCCCGCCCCTCTTCCTTTCCCGCGGATAACAAATTGCCTCCAGACCTGACAGGAAAAGAGGGGGAGGGTCTCGTCTAGGAGGAGCTCCTTACACCACCCTGGTGTAAGGAGCGAAGCTTTTTCTTCCTGTGGGATGTCGGGGTGCTCACATTTATGATTGTTCCCTGAGGGAAAGCGAAGCTTTTTCTTCCTGTGGGATGTCGGGGTGCTCACATTTATGATTGTTCCCTGAGGGGAAGCAGTAATGAAATGCAGGCTGCAGGCGACCAGTACTGTACCTGTTTAAAAAAAGATCACAGGAGAGCTGTGGAGGTGGTGTGGGAATGCACTGACACTCCCCCCCACCACCTTTTGAATGGTTATAGGAATGTGCTGGGAGATCTGTCCTTTGTGTCTCCCACCTACCCACCCTTATCATCCCTGGATTTCCTCTTTCTTGGGAGAGGGCGGTTGCTGTGTTTTCTTTATACTGGTGTTAATATATCAGATGGGAGTGGAGAGAGAAGAAAGGCAAGCTCCTAACCGGTGGAACCTGAAATGAGGAAAGTGGAGGGTGTCAAGAAAGACCATGGTGGCTAATGGAAGATCCCTCATCCATACCACCTTCTCCCCTTCAGCATTTGTTTACTATAAATGATACCTATTGGCGTTACTGAAAATAGGGGACAGGAAACATTACAGTGACTTCTTCTGAAAAAAGCTGACTTGAGATATAGTTCATTGAATCACACTTTCTAATGTTTGAGAGTTTGCTGCATGTGATCTTATGTTCCATCTTTCCATGGGTGTTTGTCTGTTCTGAAAAGGATATGTTTGCAGAAATGGATGTAATACTTTGGTGCATCCAAGCGATTCTCTTTCCATCCCACACCGTTGCTATTGGATACTGTACAAAGAAGCAGCTATAGTGACCCATATGTGATATTGGGGGATTAATACACTACAGTACTTTTATATTTGCTAACTTACAGTCCTGCCTTTTTAGTAGCAGTTTTAGTCAAGGTGCAAAAAGCATTCATATGTTGTTCTTCTGAAATAGGTGGAGTGGACAGAGAGAAAACATTGGAAGGGAGAGGAAAAAGTATTCAGTGAAGAATGAAAAGAAAGGTTGGTGTGACAGGGGTGTAAGGAATTGTATGATGGTGTCTACATGGATTATGGAAAGGCTATACAATCTCTTTAATTGCATACTTACCAGTTTTCCTGAAGACACATTGCATACTTATATAAATATATAAAAGCTAAGTCTCTTGAAAAGCTAGTCATGAGTAGGTTAGGTAGCACCCCATGTAGGTGAGATCTCAAGGGATTGCATTTGAAATCACTATCTTTTCTGCCCTATGTTCACATTTGATATAAATTGTACTTTTTATTATTTTCTTACTAATGACAAAGGCCCAATGATAGATATTATCTCAGTTATATACACTGCAACAGCTGTTTGTTCTGAAGCATTGCCCGTTGTATTTTTCAGGATGTGTTGTGGGTAATTTTATAAAATGGATACTGGGGAAATTGGTTCATTCACAAAATGGCTCTAATGGAGACATAATTAGCTCCCTCTCCCCCCCCCCACCACCACCACCCCGCCAAAAAAGCAGTTACAGAACCCTTGTGGCTTTCTAAATTCTATTATTTCTTCTGTGGTGCAGTCATCCATTTTTATTTTCTAAGACAACTTGTACTGCCATATAGAAGGCAATATTTCTATATGACAACGACAATTTTAAGTTTTATTTTTCCTTAAAATCAAGAACACTATGATTTACCCAAGCAGGTACCTAAGTTCTCCTGCAATATATATTTATTGATTGGAAAGTTCCTATTTGTTCCTATATATAAAATGTTATATTGGTTGGCGATATATGAGATGCATAATAACAAAGGCTATTTATAAACATTTATGAACTGTTCAGCTTCAAAGAAACCATGAGTTGTATTCACTGGTATTTCCTATCTTTTACCTTCACTTGCAAATTCTCTGCAGGCCAAGCTGCACAGAATTTAAGCTCCTGAGAAGTTTAGAGAAGAGTGGGATGCAGGGAGGGGGGAGATTAGGTGTGTCCATTTGTATAAGTGTTAGATACATCCTCCAAAGTTTGAAATTGTTCCTGTGGTTAGGGGTCTTCTCATCTATTAAGTATTATTAAACCTAATAATATAATTGCTTTGAATTAAGTTTTGTAGATAAGAAAGATTAGGTCAATGCTCTTTATAAATATTAAGAAACTACCACTTTGGTATGGAAATATCCATTTTAGTATTTAAGCTTCTATATCAACACTGGAAGTTTTTAGGAAGAGACTGGACAACCATTTGTCTGAAATGGTATAGGGTTTCCTGCCTGAGCAGGGGGTTGGACTAGAAGACCTCCAAGGTCCCTTCCAACTCTATCATCATCATCATCATAGCATAATGGTAAAACAGTAAATAATTTAATTTTGCCAAGGTTGTTAGAAGTAGAATTAAAAAAAAATGTTGGAGCTAAATCTTTGTATTTGAAGATTGGTTGAGTGTCGTATAGAATTGAGATGATGGCTCTGAAAATACATCTAGGAAAGAGCCTAACTGGTGCAATTTTGCTTTATAATAGCAGGCGTCTAATGATTCAAAACCTTTTTTAAAAAATCAAGATATATTTGTTATGAAAAATTGAATAATCTGGTGTTGTACTATTTTTTTTAAATGTGCATATTAATAGGTATTGTAATTAGAACATTGGTTTAAATTAAATACTGCCTTAATACAAAGTATGTTCAGTCTTCAAAGCACATGCTTCTGAAGTGTACTGTAAATATATTTACATAAAAATAAACTGGGGAATTCTGAATGCTTGCAATAAGCATAATCCTTTACTTGATGCTTGAATACTAGGAAATTCCAAAATAAAGCCATAATTATGTAAACTGGACAGTGGTTTATCATAATACGAAAGTAAGAATAACCACAATAACAGTTATATTATTTCCCTTTTGGGAATAAAACTCCGACTTTGCTCTCTCATTTTAAAATTTGTAATACTTGAAAATTGATTAATATGTTTCAATCATCAATACAGTTTTCTTGATAGTAATAAATATTTATTGGTTAGTGTAGTTAGTGCTGTGCCTTGGATTTAAAAAGTGACCCAAGTTCAAATATTTTGAATGTTTCATGTAAAGGCAGTGGAAAGAAATCCCTTGCTTTGTTTCTGGATCACAAAAGTACATGGGTTAATCCACTAGTAACCATCCAGAACTAAGAAAAAGTATCCACAGAGATTTTTTTTAAAAAAAATTGAATTTACTACAGCAAATAGTTGAAGAAACAATTAGGTAAATGTTTGCAGTTTTCTCAAACACAGAATTTACAACAATATAGCTAATAAGTATCAATTTATTTCAGTAATCCAGCCTGTAAACAGATTAATTTATTATTTTTAATATACTTTTTTATATTAATATACTTCTTTGATTGGTGACTTCGCAGATTTGAACACATTTTCACAGTACACGTTTTTTGTATAATTGTGCTATCTACAAATCTGAAAAATAAAATAGAAAAACTAATAAACTTGCAGTACGTATTTTTTATATTTGGTAATTTACCTAGAAAGAAAATGAGACATAAACAGAACACATGTTCAACAATTTTATATTACAGCTGTTTACTGCTATCTTTCTGTTGCAAAGTATTTAAAAATAATAATAAATTTATTATTTATTATTAGTATTTGCCTAGAATGATTCTGAATTTTAGGATATATTCTTAACTGAAACATAAGAATGTTGAGGAATTAGTTAACTCCAGAACTGAGAGATAAAGTGACCAAATCCCATATTTATTGTATTCAGAATTTCAAGATTTTATGTTGGAGGAGGGTGTATAAAAATTGACAGAGATAGGAAAAGCAGAGGCATCTTAACAAAAAAATCAGAAAACAAATGTTTCCTAACCCATCTTTAATTCTTTGTGTTACTGCTACCTTAAAAATAGTCTAGACCCAGAACTCTGGAGAGAAAGAAGCAGCTCCCAAACAGGAACACATATCTCAGCTGCTAAGACCAGTTGCAAGTGAATGAAATGTTGTATGTTCAGCTCAGATTCTGAGAGGAATTTATTCCTTTTCAATCAAGGTCTCTCTTCACTCCTTTGATTAGCCCTGCTGGTTGAAACTGGATGGTTGTGCCTACTGTAATGCATACAACCTCTTTGCAGCATAAATTGCATGTTTGGGGGAGTGGAACAGAGAGAAAATTGGCACTGTCAAAGCTTTAAACTTTGTTGACAGTAAAATAATACTTTTTTCTTACGTGCTTGTTGTCATAATTTGACTTCCCCATCCATCTGTATTTATCATTTCGCAAGACTTAAGGACCAGTTTTTATTTACTTAACAAATATTAACTGCATTTAATGAGAGAGGTAAAGAATACAGGAACCTTGGGAAGATCAGCAGCTTGTGTGCCCATGGTATGGGGATGTAGAATCTAATTTATCTAGACCCCAGAGAAGTTACCATTTGAAATATATTAGGAAGTAAGATGGTTTGATGCAGTTGATAGATGGTTACTGTAACATTTTCATATATTTTTATTTATTTTTATTCTAAGAGTTAGTAATTTTCCACTCAGATCACATGGGTTACAATAGTATACATAATAGTTACGACACATTATAAGAGATGCAAGGGAGTTTTTCTAGCTTTCATGACTGGATTTTTAGCAACACCAGTTTGTACAGTATTGTATATAATGGAATAATACCAGAAGTATTAGTTTAAATTGCTCTACTTAAGAAAATGAATAAGATATATGGTTCAATTTTTTCCCCCAGAAACAGGAGCAGCAGCAGCAGCAGCAGCAAAAGAAAAAAAAAAAAAGACTGGAGAAGAGGGAAATTGGGGGAGAATACAATCTGAGAATGTAGTTAGATTTTCAAAGTTTTTTTTATCAATCCATAGATGGCAACGGATCATCCCTAGTACCACTTATTGTTGACTGTAGAATCTTAAAAGAGTAATTTCTAAATGCTTTATAATTGCAGGATTGTTGAAAAGTTCATAAAACCTGGAGAGAAATACTGCAAAAGATTAAATACTGAAACATTTAATTTCATATTTTTGGAACATGCAGCATTATGCAGTACAGATAGTCCTTGACCTATGACCACAATGGAGCCCAAAATTTAAGTGAGTTGTGCCCTATTTTATGACCTTTTTGGCCAAAGTTGTTAAACAAATCACGTGAATCATGTGGTTGTTAAGTGAATCTGACTTCCCCCTTTTGACTTTGCATGTTGGAAGCAAACTGGGAAATTTACAAATGCCTATCACATGACTCTGGGATAGGGCATCTTTCTTAAATACATGCCAGTTATCAAGCGCCCAAATTTTGATCATGTGACTGTAGAGATACTGCAATGGTCGTAAGTGTGAAAACTGGTCATAAGTCATTTTTTTCAGTGCCGTTATAACTTTGAACAGTCACTAAACGAATGGCTGTCAGTTGAGGACTACCTGTATTACATTATGATACTTGAAAAGGTAAAATTAGTCCCCAGTCCTTTTAAAAAGAACAACAACAACAAAGTGAAGTGGAATAAATGTTAAAAATGATTGAAGCTTTAATTGAATGGGCTAGGGCAATGTTAATGAAGGTTGGCTATTAGGTTGTATTTGTGCTACCGACCATGATTTATTGACCATTTTAAATGATTCCCTTTGAAGCTCCATTGTTCATGTAATGTGCCTGTAATATGTCAACAACACATGTCTTTAAAAGCTTTGTTATGAAAGAACAAAATACACTTTTCTTTTCCTACCACACTGGACACAATAAACTCCTTTCCTGTTATACCATTAGCTCAAGAACACTTATGCAGAACTTGGATGTACTCTGGATGTTTGGGCTTCAACTCCCAGAGTTCACAGCAGGTGGCCTTGCTTTTTCAGGAGTTGAACTATATTTAGGTAGGAAAGGCTGCTGAAAAATATTGCTGTTTTCTTGTTAAGAATGAAAAAAAATGTGATAAGATCATTTATCAATACTAGATAATGTTTATATTTATTTTCTAATTATTTTCAAGTTTCTGTTAGTGTCCTTGAGCAGAGAAATGAAACAAATGATCCAGTTCACTTCTACAGGTAGCTCTTAACTTATAACAATCCACTTAGTGATCGTTTGAAGTTACAACGGCACCGAAAAAAGTGACATGACCATTTTTTACATTTACCACCGTTGCAGCATTCCCATGGTCAAAATGATCAATATTCAGATGCTTGGCAACTGATTCATATTGATGACAATTGCTGTGTCCCATGTGATCCCCTTTTGGGACCTTCTGACAAGCAAAGTCAATGGGGAAGCCAGTTTCACTTAACCGTGTTACTAACTTAACAACTGCAGTGATTCATTTAACCACTGTTGCAAGCAATGTTCTAAAATGGGGCAAAACTCACTTAACAAATGTTTCACTTAGCAAAAAAAAATTTGAGTTCAGTTGTGGTTGTAAGTCGAGGACTACCTGTACTTCATCAATAATAATGTGCTATATTAATTTCTGTGAAGAATTGGATATTTTATGTATGTATATATTTGGAGGACTTTTAGTCATAGAGGTCTTGTGTGGGTACAGTCATGGTAGGAAAGAATCTATTTGCTTATTCTCTTTTCCATCACACTTATCTGGGGACCCACCAAATAGCTAATCCTCTTCTGCCATATGATAAGAAGTGCCCTTGAAGAATACCTGTTTACTTTCTGTTTTTAATTCTTGGGCTGCTGAATCTTTATTTTATATAAGACTAGCTGGTTTAAGTGCCACGGTGATGCTATGTGGTTCACTGTGGTTCATTATAGTTCAACAATAGTCTGTTAGTTGTTGCCGAGATGGTTATGATGTATGGTAGTTTTGTCCTTTTCATAGCTTGTATTGATTGTATAGAATTGAGTGGTTAGGTACAAAAATCATCTTCAGCATACAACGTGAGGACTAACAACCACTATATAGGACAGACAGAACAGAAAGCTAGGAGATCGCATCCATGAATACCAACTAACAGTTAGAAGACACAGTGAAAACTCCTTATTCTCACAACAGATGATCAGACTCAGCCATAGTTTCAACTAGGAAACTGAGAATTCTAGAACAAGCTAAATCCAAGAATGCTGAAGAATTCCTGGAAGCTTAGTTTTCAGACAAATTAGCCCTCAATAGGTATATAGGCATGTTAACACACATTCAAAAGGAACACTAAAAAAGAAAACAAAAAGAATCAAATGTGGGGCTTCCTCCCATATAAACAAGGAGAACACCCTACATTCACTAATAAGTTAAATTACCTAGTTGAGGAGTGAAGAGTCAAAGAGCGCCAAGGACACCACAGTTCAACCCTGAGCTATATATATTCTTTTCTGTAAGAGCTTGGGACTAAAACATTGAACACTGACAATTAGCAATTTCTGTTCAATCTTTGTCATTGTTTAGGTAGCTATTTTACCAAACCTGTTATGCCTGGGTGCGTGTATTTGATTTGATTAATACACTTGACCGCTGTTCCAACTATGCGGACTTACAGGTGTTTAAAATTATTGCCATTACATTTTAGAATGGCACAAACATGTCATGTTTTCTAATTGTATTGACAATATGTTTCATTTTCAAAAGAAAAAATAAGCCAGTTAATATTCAAGATGAGAAAAGGGGAAGTGATAATGTGTTTTTGTTGATGTATTTTCTGATGGTATAACTAGTTTTGTATGTATTAAGTTTTTGAGCAAATTAATTGACTTGGAACATTGGTAGTGTCTTTGTTAACAAAATATTATCTTGACCAAGTTCATTAGTGTTTAGGGAACTGCTGAAATTGAGATACCAGTGAGAGATAACCAGGGCAATATGTGCAGTATTGGTTGAATATTTGTACTTCGAAGAGTTGAAAAGCAAGATATAAATTGCAGAATCATTGTGGATTTTTCTGCAAAGCTTTTTCTGAGGCACTCTAGGTTCATTTTTTTGCTCACTTTCACCCTCACCCTTTCCTTTGTATTTCTTTCAGTTTTATAATGTCATAATATACTCATTCTCTGCTAGTGTCCAGTATCTCCCCCTTTTTAAGGGGTACTTTTCCAGTACACATAATAGTTATGACACATTATAAGAGATGTACTGGGATTGCAATTTTCAGTAAAACAGGCACTACCTAGGTCAGGTAAGGACTAGGGAAGTCAAGCGGTTCAAAGCAGGTGTGCACACACCATATCTGTTGGTGTTCTTTAAAGAAAGTGCTTCCTAGGATTCATATGCATTTGGCTTAAGGAGGTACTAAGAGTGTATCCATATCTGTTCCAGAACACTTTGTCACTTTAGTCCTTATCTGAAAGTTCATTTGTACTGTATTAGCAAGAAAATATGTAAGTGATACATTGGAGTTACCATACAAGGCCAAAGCCTGTATAACATAACAAACTGTATATTAGTAAATAGTGAGGGCATATATTGAACTGGAACTCCATCTGGCTGCAGTTTCTTTAATAATTTACATTCCTAGAGCATATTGACATGAAATTAATGTTTATGTACACTTTTTTGTTTTTAAAAAATAAGCAAACAGTGACTGCTATCTTAGAGAATAAAGATTAAGCTTTATTCTACCACAGCAGATCTTTCTAAAATTGTTGCCCTTATAACCATTTTTTTTTTTTGCACAATTAGAAAAGAAAGAATCCCTGCATGAGAAAAAAAATCATTGGGGATGTATCATTATTCTTTCAGTGATCAAACATAAGTAGTCACTAAAACTGTTAAGTTATGGTAAAGGTTGTCCAACTTAGAATACATTTTATAGAATATATTGGGGTTGCATGTAAAGATGATGGATTCACATAAATGTGTTTTGTACTATAATGTTCATCTTATCTTACGTCTCTGCATTTCATTTTATCTTATACTGTTTTATCTCACTCTATTTTTCTTTATCATACCTTACTATATTTTATTTTACCTTAGTTTATTTTATCTTATTTTGCTATATCTTACCTTATTTCATCTTAATGTATGTTATTGTGACTGATGTCCATTGCTTTGATATGGTCAATTAATTAATCTGCAAAGTTATACTACCATTACATTATTTTAATGACAATATGCAGCTAAACAATTTTTGTGATTTTTTTATCAGAATCAATTTCCTGAAGTAATACCTTACTTATTAATTCTGAGATACCCATCAGTTGTGAATGCATTCATTTTACTGTTACACAGAGCGAAGATAGTCCAAGTCCCAAAAGACAGCGCCTTTCTCATTCAGTCTTTGACTACGCAACATCATCACCAGCCCCATCACCACCAATGCGACCATGGGAGATGACATCAAATAGGCAGCCTCCTTCAGTTCGACCAAGCCAACATCACTTCTCAGGGGAACGATGCAACACACCTGCGCGCAACAGAAGGAGGTCAGCTTTTTTTTTTAAGACAATTATATTGATTTAGAAAGTAGTTTTTGAAGCCTCAAATTTATGAGTATTAGGTTTGTGTATAATAAAGAATCACTCCAGAGTTTAAAGCTATGGAGTCTTAATTTTATGAAACATGAAGCCTATGCCAGATATATGGAATTTTATATCACAGAGAAGTAAACTGTATCCTACAGCAGAGTTCCCTAACCTTTCCAGCTTTGCGGGCTGGCGGGGGGGATAGGGGGTGGGTCTTTGCAAGTGGCAGGCATGTGCGCCTGCCATGCGCGTAAATGGAGCGCATGTACATGTGCTCACCCACTGCTTGCTCAAGTGGCAGTGCGCACGTGTGCCCGCCACTTCCGCATTCCGGTTCCAAATGACTCAAGGGTTGGGGGAATCCCTGTCCTACAGTCTTAATTAGCTTCTGTACAAGTTTATTGAAGAGATGCTTCTTATATTAGTAAATTGTAATATTTGATTATCCAAAATATGTAGTTGTTAGCTTAAATATTGTTGTTCTAGTACATTTTCATCCAAAGATACCAGAATCGACATCCAAATGTTAGCCTTCTTGTCTCTCCTCTATTCTTTCATCACAACTGTGAGGGAAGTTTAGCTGAGAACATGTGATTAGGCTAAGGTCAGTCAGCCCTGACTTTTGTTTTAAAATTATTGTAAAACATAGAATAACACTCTGAAGTCAGATACAATATATCAGTCTATTCTTAATTTATTCTTACTTTATGTTTATTGGAAGGAATCAGTAACATGGTACGGCTCAGATCATCTTATTTCTGAAAAAGCATATCATTGCAACTTTTGCTAGAAAGTTAATATTCTTATTGGGAATACCAATTATCAAGAAAAAGGTATTTTGTTACCTCCACATATTTTCTTTATGTTTCTATTACATGTTTCTTCCAGGGAACACAAGATACAATATATATATTATATTTTCATCCAATGAGGACATTTGGGCTGAAAATTAAAGGTGTTTTTTTCCCAAAAAATAACATATGAATGAGAAAGGAATTGAATGTAGAACTATATAATTGAACTGTGTCATTCTTTTAATATGCAACATCATGATTTGCTAATTCATTTAAATTATTTATTAATATTCACTCAGTTAATTTCTTAACTTTTTGCCTCCATCATATCAGCTTTCCTTGAGCTTAATCACTTGTTGTATGTCTTTTCTAAGGTTTTCTCAGAAAAGTTCCCACAGTCTGTTCGTCACAGACCTCATTGTTGTATAAATTAATTCAGAAGTTTTGAATATTTTCAGATTAGTAATACATTTGTATTCCTCTTTCCATATTTGTTTTCTCTTCAACTCAATCACACTGTAGAAGGCAGAGATTTTGTAAGAATCTCTCTTATGTATTTGTATTGTAGAGTGTAAAGGAGATGATTGCTCGTACTCAAATGCTTGCCAACTGGCAGTATTCATCACAGAACCAGTTGTCTGGCCTCTGACCCATCTGCTAAGTTCAGCTTGACCTTCACTCTTGCTACTAAGTTATCTGAGAAAGAAAAAGACCACCTGGCAATTTTGATCCGATTGTTCTGATTATGTTATGTTATATTATTTTTGCTCCAGAAAAAAATAAAAATACATTCAGATTTTCATGATGAAGAAATGTGTGAATACAGGAATAAAAGCATGCATCCATAGTATGTAATTAGTTTATAAATAGAAATTACCATAGCTGTTCGAAGTATAAAACTTGTCCCATTTGATTATTTATAGCCCTCCTGTTAGACGCCAGAGAGCAAGGAGAGATCGACTGTCTCGACATAATTCCATTAGTCAAGATGAAAACTACCATCTTCCTTATGGACAGCAACAAGCAATAGAAGAACCACGAGCCTTTCACCCACCAAATGTGTCTCCCCGTATGTTGCACCCAGCTGCTCATCCGCCACAGCAGAATGCAGTCATGGTTGACATTCATGAACAGGTATGGGTAAAGACAGAAAAATATTCTCCAAATTTCTTCTGACTGATAACTTCTTTTATTGTTAATATTTCCAATTACCTGGGTATATTGGGACGACCATCATTCCGTATGAATCACTCTTGTTTGCGCCGGCATCTGTGCTGAATAACTCTGCATTAAAGCCAGCTGATTTAACAAGGTAGTCACACTTAAGTGAGCTCTGGATTGGAAGGACAGAACTTTTGCCTTATTTCTCTAGGAATACAATGGCCTGTTTCTTGATTTCAAATGAATGTCCATAATTTCTACTGTGGCATGGTACTGTGTGCAGGCATTACTGGCGGCTGTGGCAATTGTTCCTTAAATACCATATCTTCCAAAAGGAAGGAGAAATTAATCCACCGGGCTTATTAAATGTGGTTAAATTATATTTAGATACTCCCTTTAACTAGTCAGACGGTAGAAAAGGTGGTAGAAAGTGCTCAGTGCCCTCTTTTGCTACATTGCGATAGTCTAACATACAATTATCATACAACTGGATGGGTTTTGTTTGAAGAATGACATACCAGTAGTAGTACCTCTGTAATCACGAAGGTCTTCCCAAAGAAATTCTATACTTATACCTTAGAGCAGGGGTAGGCAACCTTGGCTCTTTTATGACTCATGGACTTCAACTCCCAGAATTCCTGAGGCAACTATGCTGGCTCAGGAATTCTGGGAGTTGAAGTCCATGAGTTATAAAAGAGCCAAGGTTGCCTACCCCTGCCTTAGAGGCTTCAGTCGAGTACAGTGTTGAGTATTGCAGATTTCTTTTTTTTTTTTTATTGAAAAATTTTTTAAAAACTTTTACAAAGACAGAAAAAAAACAATAACAACAACAACAAAAAACAAAACAATACAACCCTCCCCCAACCCCTCCCAAACCACCCCCTCCCTCCCCCCCCCCGGAGCTTCCCAGAGCAGAATATAGGCTTAATTTAAAAAAATTAACAAAATTATAAGATAATTAAAAATAAAATATATATGAAAAAAGAATTATAATCCTTAAAAAGAGAAAGTATTTAAAAAAGAAAAAAAAAGAAAAAAAAAGAAAAAGTAGAGTTTTTATACAAATTATAAAAAAGCTAAATGATATTTTTTCAAATCCAGTTTAAATTGTATGAAATTTATCCATTTTTCCCATACAGCAAAAAATTTCTCTTGCGCTTGCTCTTTTAAGAAAGCCGAAATCTTTGCCATTTCCGCCAAATAAGATACTTTAAAAAACCATTCTTGCAAAGTAGGCAAAGATTCCTTCTTCCAGTATTGACCTACTAACAGCCTTGCGGCTGTAATCAGATTCAGCATCAATATAACCTCCTTAGCATCACAATCAGTAACAATACCAAGCAAAAACAATTGTGGAGTAAATTTTACCCTCTTTCTAAAAATTCTCTGAATGTTCCACCATATCTTAATCCAAAAAGCTTTTATATTTTTACACGACCACCAAATATGATAATAAGTGGCATCCAGGCAGCCACATCTCCAACATTTAGGCTGTAAGTCAGGATACATGAAAGACATCTTTTGTGGATCAAGGTGCCATCTGTAAAACATTTTATAAAAATTCTCCCTTAAATTCTGGGCTTGTGTAAACTTAACATTTCTCACCCAGATAGTTTCCCAGGTATCCAGTAGAACTGGTTCACCAAAATTCTGCGCCCATTTAATCATACAGTCTTTAATTAATTCTGATTCTGAATCCAGTTCCACTAGCACCCCATAAATTCTCTTAATGTGAGTTTGTCTTTGATCCTTTACTTGCTTAAAAAGATTTTCATCTTCTCTAAGCAGGCCTAAATTATGGTCCATCTTCCATCTATCTACTAATTGTCTATATTGAAACCAAGAATAGGTAATATTTTCATGTGCTAGGTCTTCCAAAGATTTTAACTGCCAATTTTGACCATCCCATCTAAGTAATTGTGTATAAGACACCGTATCCATTTTAACACCTCTCTTTATCCCCTCTATCGCATGCCAAGGTATAGCCCATAACGGTATTTTAAAATCACTTTTATAATATTTCCTCCAAACCCTAAGTAAAGAGATCCTTATAATATGAGATTTAAAGGCCCAATCCACTTTTTTATTAAATATTAAATAGGCATGCCAACCAAAAAGTAAATCCCATCCCTCCAAATGGAGTATCTCTGAATTTGTTAAATTTACCCAATCACTAATTAATGTTAAGACCACAGCATCATAATATAATTTCAAATTCGGTACCTTGAGTCCACCTCTCTCAACGGAAGTCCTGCATAATTTTAAACTTTACCCTTGGTTTTTTCCCTGCCCAAATAAATTTATTAATGCCTTTCTGCCATTCATTCAAATTAACCTCATTCTTTAAAATAGGTAACATTTGAAATAAAAAGAGAAATTTTGGCAGGACATTCATTTTAATCACTGCAATTCTTCCCATGAGAGATAGCTGTAAGTTCTCCCAATTTTTCAAGTCTTTTTGTACCCTGACCCACAACCTTTCATAGTTATTCTTAAACAATTTTACATTAGAAACAGATAAAATAACCCCCAGATATTTTATCTTATCAACAATTTCAAAACCAGTCAAATTAGCCAAAATCTGTTTATCACAAGTAGTCATATTTTTAGATAATATTTTAGTCTTATTATTATTAATTTTGAAACCCAAAACTAATCCATATTGATATATCAGCTGTAATAACTTCACTACAGAATAAGTAGGTTGAGACAAAGTAACCACCAAGTATTGCAGATTTCATATGGATGGACTGGGCTGCCAGAAGGCATGTTGATGTTCACCTGCAGCAGTAACTATTTTTAGTTTGCGTGCACAATACAACATGATATTTAGATCTGGACTAAAAGTGTGTTGGATATGAGTTTGCCAGAAGGTGAATTAGGGTCTACTACTTAATATTTGACCTGGCAGTGAATCAGCAAGGATTCCAGAGAGCCACAGTTATACAAGAAATAATGACAATTGGCAGAATGTTCCTAATGTGGGGATGTGAGTATTCTACACTTGTGCACTTCAACTATTTCAAATAATTCAAACGAAGGTAGAATAATGTCTGTCTGTTCTTTTCTGTTACTAAATTGTTTCTATCCTTTTGCACATAATAGTCCTCAATTTACGGCCATAATTGGGACCAGAATTTCTGCTGCTAAGGAAGTTAGCATGTTAAATGAGTTGTGTCTGATTTTACAACCTTTTTTGGCATGGTTATTAAGTAAATCACTATAATTGTTAAATGAATCATGTGGTTGTTAAGTGAATCCACTTTCCACCATTGACTTTGCTTGGCAAAAGTTGGCTGTAACTATGACCACCACATTCGCTTAAAGACTGGTGCAAAAAAAGATTCTAAATCAGACACAAGTTACCTAATTATCTACTTTTAACAACCAGCATGACTTAACAGCTGTAATTCTGGGTCTCAATTACAGTCATAAATCAGCAAACACGTTACCCACTTATCTGTGGCAGGTAGAAAATGGGCATTCACCCATTTAGATTAACCTCCTCAGAATCTCTTCCCCTTGTAAGGTTTATGGGTCTTAGATGAGGAATATGTTATCTATTAGGTTTTGAAGGCACCTTTCCATCTTGTGCCCTGGAAGATCGTGAAAACCTTCCTTTTCTAATCAGCTTTTGGTTTGCTTGATTGATGCATGTGTGTGTGTGTGTGTGTGTGTGTGTGTGTGTACATTTAATTGAACCTTGTTTTACTACTTGTATTGTCTTGGTTGAGTCTTGCTTTATTGTATACTGCCCAGAATTGTAAAATTGGAGTGGTTAACAGCTCTGTTAAACAAACAATCCTCTCTAAGCTTGAACCATTCCGTAATATTATAACGGCAGTATTTCTACAGAAAATTATAGGGGCTCCTGTGTTGCTGAAGTGTATTCCACTAGACAGATACAAGGCTATTGGTTTATTTAATCTGAATCTGATATTTCTGTTCAAGGTTCAGCTCCACGTATGATCAGAAGATTAATGCAATTTAAGTAGGACAGGAATTATAAAAAGAGTTACAAGTGAGGACACTGGGCGTGTGTCCATTGTCTTAATGCATGTTTTCTATGCCTGGGTGTAAGGTAAAAGGGATGTAAGGTAAAAGGGATTCTTGCAATGCCGGGAAGTAAAAGAATCCATCTTTTAGATGTGGCTGTTGGTTGCCTTGAGGCAATTAAAAAGAGATAGGTTTTGTTCTTTGTTATGAAAAGATATTTTCTGAAATATTCGACTGCTGTCAAATAGATAACTAAATTGATAATAGCTGGCAGGTGATTCTCAAATCACCTAAAATGATTTTGTGGAAAACCATAATCCCAATGAGTTTCCTGTTATTTTAGTCCTTGTATATTGATACTGATTCTTATTGTTCTTAGATTCACCAGGGCACAGTCCCTGTTTCATATACAGTGACCACAGTAGCACCACATGGGATCCCACTTTGCACAGGTCAGCACATACCAGCTTGCAATACGCAACAGGTCCCAGGGTGTTCTGTGGTTTTCAGTGGGCAGCACCTCCCTGTCTGCAGTGTGCCTCCTCCAGTAAGTAGTAGTTTAATTTTAATTTTGAAATAGATACTGAAAATAATTGGAAGAGCAGACAGCTTTAAAGGAATGTATTTATACCTGAATTATATGGCTATCTATAAATATAAATAACTGGCATTTATTTTTAGTGATATTTAGCTTGCATGTTAAAAAGTTAAGTTTCTGAGTGACAGTGCTTCATCATGTATTTAAATAACTGGTAAACTGTTAGGTTTATTTCACAAACTTAATTACTCGAAGAGTAGAATGTTGGCTTTGTTCCCCTTGATATCTCTGAACTATTTCCATAAAATAGATTGTGTGCAAAATCTGAAAATACCTATTTTATCCTACTATTAATAATAATTTTTATAGTAGCTACCCCACCGTTCCTTTTATGTTTATTCAAGGTGGCCAACATTCCTAATAATCCTGTTTTCCTTACATCATTCTTGCGAGGTGGGTTGGGCTGACAGAAAGTGACTGACCCAAAGTCATCCAGCCAGCTTCTATGTCTAAGGAGGGCTTTAGTTACTATTTTTAACAACTTTGGCTCTAAGAATTCTTTCAAAACTGTTATTTTAAAGTTCAAACGAAATGCCTTTCCTATATTTGACATTCCAGGTAGATTTTTGATAAATTCTCCTCCCTTTCTTAGCTGCTACTACTATGAAATATTGGTTACTTTGAATAGTTAATAATCTAATTGGATAAAATATATCAGTGCATATTTATTGAAATTGACTTACTAACACAGTAGCTCAATGACCATAAAAGAGCTTATAGAGCATTGCATGTCAAAACAACTTGACACAAAGATAGCTTCCCCCCCCCCATGTCATTACTCTGCTGAACATTTAATTCTCACAACAGTGTCCCATTTCTAATCTTTTTTCATCTTTTCTACTATCTTCTCCTATTGGTTTCTTATGATTTATCAATTGTTGTTTGTCGCTTATGATTGATGATTGGAACTATGATTTATGACCTGTGACCTATTACTTGCTGTTTATGTGTACACTGCTTATGCACCAGAGACAAATTCCTTGTATGTCTGATCACATTTGGCCAATAAAGAATTCTATTCTATTCTATTCTATTCTATTCTATTCTATTCTATTCTATTCTATTCTATTCTATTCTAAATGAGTCTTACACAATTCCTACAGAAGTAACTTAACATTGCTTAAACTTGATTTAAGTTTCAAATAATAGCATTGTAATAAATTCTCCTTTAGTTGCTAAACTCTTGCAGTTTGCATAGTTTGTAATTATGTAATTGTTTATTTTCTAAATTATTCGAGTTTATTTAATTCCCTAGAAAAGATTAATTTTGCCATGCCAATAAGTTATTTCTTCTTAATTTGCATAATGTTGCTTTCATTAATAAAAGGGTGATAATCTATACTGTTGCAATAGTATTTGTTTTGTAAATAAATAAATCTTTATTTTATCTTATTCCTGTATAAACATAAGCATCCAAATACTGTATGTTACATACCTTTGTTTATGTTTTATCTTCTGCAGATGCTTCAAGCTTGTTCTGTTCAACATTTGCCAGTTCCATATGCAGCGTTTCCACCCCTCATTTCTAGTGATCCATTTCTCTTACATCCTCCACATCTCTCCCCACACCACGCTCCACATTTGCCACCTCCAGGCCAGTTTGTTCCTTTTCAAACACAGCAATCACGATCGGTAGGTGTTCCTTTTTTTTTTTAAATCTATTAATGAATTTTGGAATACTCTATTTAAGGTATCATGTTTCGATGACTGGCTGCCAAAGATTGCTCCACTATTAAATTGAGAAAATCCATGAGTAAATTCTCATTTAGGAACTGTGATATGCAAAAACCAATCTAACTTTGATCATTTTGATTCCAAGATTGATAGAGGAACAGTATTAAAAATGGATTTTTAAGTTTGCATTGTGGCACTGGGTTTCCTATCTGAATGTGGAAAGAATAAATCAAAGCTGCTATTCTGTATGAATTACCACTGGGGGTTCAATTTTGAATTTAGGTGCAGTTTCAAATTTAAGAATATAGCTCTGCTTCAGTAAAATCTCTTTACATCTCGTTATTCACACAGGGATTTTTTTTTAAAAAAAAAAAAGCTTAAATATATTTTTTAGTCTCACTGTAACAGTGAAATATCTCCTAGTGCTTTTCAGAAATGTTCAGACCAAGATTCAAAAGGTTCTTCAGAGGCAGGGATCCAAAACTGAGGTAACAATGGCTAGCAAATGAAGCCCACTGTTACTAAGATGCTAGGTTGGCCTATGCCAAGAAGGCTGTTAATTTGGCAGTATGATATGTAATCACCTGCTCATCTTTATTTTAGTTTTTCATGCTGCTGCCCAGAAAAAAAATTGTGATTTTTCTAACTTAGACTACAGTGGTAGTTCATATAACATTAAGTTTTCCTGAAAAAGAATCAGGCAAGCTTATGGTTTGCATATGTTCTCCTGGCACCTCATCCTAGAAAATGCTGAAATTAAACTTGAAATTTAGTGTTAGCTTGGCTATTTCTTGATGTGAAAATGCTCAGAGAAGAATGGAGCTATGCATACAAGCCAAAAGTACTTAATCTTCCACGTCCCACAGAACCTAAAAACCACAAAAATGTGGTTTTATGCCCATCAGTTTAAAGGTTCAACCTGCAAAACATTCCCCTTGTTCTTTTCTAAAATCACCTTTTTAAGGTACTTTGCTTTGTTGAAGGTTTGATTAAACACTCTTTGGAACAATCTTGCAAAACAGTGCAGTCCAGGAAAGTCATCACAACCGTGTTATTTTACTTTGTCCTGTTTCATAGCTCCTCCTCAGCACAGCAGCCACACAACAGTTTCTTTTGGCTTCAGCAGATACTGGTGGAGAATGTTTAGAATTGCTGTGAAGTAATGCTGTTCTCTGTTTTCTTCAGCGGTATTCTCAAAAGCCAAAAGTCTCCACTAAAAATGTTTTGCTTAGCCTTCTCCAAGAGAACTACCCGGGCTTATCAATGTTCTGCAACAGTCTTTGGCCAAGTTTGGAAAAAGAAATTGAAAGCCTTGTTGTTGTTGTTATACAATACTAGAAATAAGTTGTGCCATATATGCTATGTAATAAGGTAGCAACCATGATAAAACAGACCGCAAATTAATTAACATATGATAGTGATTAGCATCATAATGCTTTAAATTAGTAAGATTAATTTGAAGCAATACATTCTGTGTCTTCAGCTCTGCTCTGAAAACAGCATAAATGTGCACTGTCCATTTGTTTAATTAGCCAACTACCCATATATTTAAAACGGATGTCAAAGTGCTGGCCCGCGGGCCGGACGCGTCACCAGGAAACCGCACCCACCCCATTGCTGGCAATGGGGAAAAAGCTCCAATATGTCGCGTGATGTCACGAGTTTGACATGTCTGATTTAAAATGTTAAATGTTTCTATTTTCTTTTGCCTTAGCCTCTCCAAAGGATAGAAAATGAAGTAGAGTTACTTGGAGATCATCTTCCCGTAGGAGGTTTTACCACCTATCCACCTTCAGCCCATCCACCAACATTGCCTCCCTCAGCTCCCCTTCAGTTCCTAGCGCATGACCCTTTACATCAAGAGATGTCATTTGGAGTAGTAAGTGATGTTTTTGAAAATACTGACATGAGTTCTTACATATTTGTCAAAAACATTTTGTTTTAGCTTTTTAATGCACAATTTCTAAACATATTTGTTCAATTTCTAACAGCTGCCCATCTCAGTCAGTGACTCTGGGCACTCACAGTTAAAAAAAAAAAGTACTACAATTAAAACAATAAAATATTTTTAACACAAAAACTATATTAAAAAATCCAAAACACATATACACAACAGCCAAGATACATGGCCAGTTAAAAATAAAGCCAGGAAATGGAGTCCTTAGCACATTTGGCACCCCAGGCTTGGGAACACTGCCAGATGTTTAGAGCTTTATGAAAGGTTTGGGCCATTCTAATCTTCAGGGGAAGGATATTCCACAGAGCTCGGGCTAGCAATAGCACTTAGACTTATATACTGCTTCATAGCGCTTTACAGCCCTCTCTAAACGGTTTACACAGCATATTGTGTAAACCGCTTGTGTAAATCTAGGTTCTCATTTTACCGACCTCAGAAGGATGGAAGGCTGAACATAAACTAATGTGTCCTAAGTTGATTAAACTAGTATTGTGTTCCATTGATTTAAGATACATTATTCAGTTAAATGAAATAATTCCTGTTTTATAAAGTAAGGAGCCAAATTGTGGAGTTATAAGAAAAAAAACATTGTGATTAAAAAAATCTTGGACATTGTTAACGCCTTTTTTCGTGCCGTACATGACTGATTCCATTTGATAACTTACCTTACTTTTAACATACTTTTCTTTATTTCTTTTAGCCTTATCCACCCTTTATGCCTCGAAGACTCACAGGGCGCAGTCGATACCGATCTCAGCAACCAATTCCGCCTCCTCCTTACCATCCCAGCCTATTGCCATATGTGCTGTAAGCGTGACTTTTTTTTTTTTTTTGGTATGAATTTAAGCTGGATAATGCCTTTTTGCTAAAAGGTCAGGCACAGGTAGTCTTTAACTACAACCATTTGTTAAGCCATTGTTTGAAATTACAAAGGCATTAAATGAATGGTGGTCATGACCAGTCCTTCCCGCATCCTCATGCACATACGTAATTAAAAATAAGAAAAAAATGCTGCTGCTCTTCCAAGTATTCTGGGCATGTCAGAAGAAGAGAAGAGATTGGTAAATTCAAAAAAAAAAAAAAAATGGCTGGCAAGTAAACCAAACTAATTTGATTTAGGAGCCCTTTATGTGAAATACATAATCTGCTACTTGATTATGTGGCGACATTACAGGTAGTCTTCGACTTACAACAGTTCATGGAGCGACTATTCAAAGTTACAAGAGCACTGAAAAAAGTGACTTATGACCGTTTTTCACACTTACAACCGTTGCAGCATCCCCATGGTCAAAATGATCATAATTCAGGTACTTGGCAACTGAGTCATATTTATGACGGTTGCAGTGTCTCGGGGTCATGTGATCACTTTTTGCAACCTTCTGAAAAGCAAAGTCAACGGGAAAGCTACATTCACTTAATGACCATGTTACTGAATTAACAGCTGAAATAATTCACTTTCTTGGCAGGAAAAGTTGTAAAATGGGGCAAAACACACTTAAAAATTGTCTCACTTTACAACAGAAATTTTGGGCTCATTTGTGTTGAGAACTACCTGTATATGTTTTAGAGCAGCTTTTGGCTTTAAACAATACTTTCCTTCTACTCCCTAATTTGTATTAATTGAGGACGTAGGAGTTGTCCACGCCCACTGCTGTTGAGTGTAGAAATGGTTGTAGTGGGTAATAATTTTTCCAATGGAGTAAGCTTTTATTCTAAGCTTTTAATTCTTTATTTTTGTGCATTATGTTTTTTTACTGTAATTTTAACAATTTAACAATAATTTCCAGGAACAGGTGGAAAAGTATTTTATTTCTGGAATAATAATAAGCCTATACCTCTTTCATAGATCAATGCTTCCTGTGCCACCTGCCATTGGGCCAGCCTTCAGTTTTGAGCTGGATGTAGAAGATGGTGAAGTAGAAAACTATGAGGTTCGTTAGCAATAAATAAGCATGTGAAGTATAGTCATGAGGATTTAATTAGTTTTTTTTAAAAAAAATCTCAAGGTGTTAGATTAGTTGTAATTGCTGCTGGAGGGCAGTTTACACAATATTAATTTTTACCTTATTATCAGCCAAGTCTCCTTCACACTGGCCAGAAGTCTGAGTGATTGTACTGTGAGGGAGGGAAAGTCTAAAATTGTGTGGAAGAATCTCATAGAGCATGTTAACAATTCTTGTTATAAATAATACCTTTGAAGCACCATCCCCTTTCATGCTACTGTTTTTAGAGGAGATTTTTGAAAAATGCATCCTTGGATGAAAACCATAAACTTGTGAATTTCTTTGTTTGCAATGGAAAAATATATTAATTCCATAAAGCTAGCTTAAAGAGTAAGAATATATTTACACAAATGGATTTCTAAGATCTGTTCATTTTGAATTTAACAGCCAAGTAATAATTGTTTACCTTATATGTATATATCTACATATTATATATCCTTCAGATAATTTTGGTTTTGCATAGCATATGGATTGTATCTTCTGGTTTCTTCTTCATTACAAACTAGTAGTGATATGAAAAGGCAAGAATTGAACTGAAGAATTATTTCTCTCACAGGCACTGCTGAACTTGGCAGAAAGACTGGGTGAAGCTAAACCAAGAGGATTAACAAAAGCAGATATAGAACAACTTCCGTCTTACAGGTTCAACCCAAATAACCATCAGTCAGAACAGACTTTGTAAGTTTTTCATACTTTCATTCAATTTTTAGTATGAAGGCATATTATCTTGCTGCTGGAGTCTTGCACAGAAGCACCTGTAGGCTTAAAATTAGTCCCCAGCTTGTATATAGGTTGACATTTGCTATTGAGGCTTTTTCAGTTAAGATCCTTTCTAACCGTTGAATTGAAATCTTAAGCATAAGGCATTAACATTTTAATTCTGGCTGTCTATTCACAATATTTTAAATTTCAGAATGGGCACATTTTCTCTCTTGCTCCCATCTATTATATTGGAATTGTATTGGAACAGCAGAAAATTAGGTGAAGAAAAAGCACTTGCGCTTCCCCCCCTCTCTCCCTCCCTCTCCCTCCCCCTCTCCCCCCCCCTCTGCAAAAGAGAGTGGTCTCACACTGTTCTCCAACGAGCTGACAAGCTTATTGGGCGGGGCTCCTGCCTTGGCTGCTTCTCTGCAGGAAGGGCAGGAGAGAGCCAGCCCAATAAGAATGTGTGTCAGCTTGTTGGAGAACAGCATGAAGCCAGCTTGCCAGATGAGCAGAAGATTGGAGAGAGGGAAAGGGGGGGGAGAGAGAAAGAGGGGGGAAGAGAGAGAGGGAGAGGAAGAGAGGAAGATAGAGAGAGGGAGGGAGAGGAAAGAAAGGGGAAGAGAGGGAGGGAGACAGACAGAAAGAGGGAGAGGAAAGAGAAAGGGAGAGAGAAAAAGAGGGGGAGGGAGAGAAAGAAAAAGGGAGAGGAAAAAGAAGGGGAGAGGGAGAGAGAACTCATGCACAGCACCCTCTATTTCTTTTTAATTAAACTCTTCAATCAAGCTCCCCTTCTGGCGCATGTGCACAAGTTTTGCGGTTCCCAGAGTTTTCTGTGGGAAATGGGTCCAAGTGACTCTTTGAGTGTTTATGGTTGCCGATCCCTGATCTATATCAAATAAATAGAGTTAACCCACGGCTTACCTTCAGTTCTATTTTCACCTACTTGAGGATTGCTGAGGTAATGTATGTGAAATGCTTTACAATCCAAGCAGTATAATAAGAACTAGAAATGTGTAAAACATTTCTTGCACAAGTTGTTTTACGCATTAACTGTTTTGTATGCAGAACTGCTGGATTTGGGTGCTCTCTGCCCACACTACAACATGCTGGTTGCTTTGTTTCAGGCATGGCACACAAAGGGGCTGTTTTGATACAGGCACAGTTGTTTCCCAGAAGAAGGGAGCAGGAAAAAAAGCCAAGGAGATTGAGGGCTGGCATGTCAGGGGGATACTGAATGCCGTACTGAAATATCACAAGTGATGGGGAGAGAAGGAAGGAGCTGGGAAGATCAAGGGTGGGTGGGACATTAGGAAGTTGCCACTCTGGGAGTCACTGATGGAAATGGAGAGAGTTTCTTGCCTGTTTAGATTTTGCTTCATCCAAACCCTGAAACAACAAAAGGATTCCAGGTTTGGGTTCTATGGAATGGAGTTTGATCCATATTCCAGAATGCAGTGGTTTATTCTAAGTTGGAAATAGAACATTTTCCCATTTTATGCAGGCCTGCATAAATGACCAGTCCTAATAGGTGATATTCTTTGCTCATAATTGATACTGAACTGTATTTTTTAGTCTAAATTTAAAACAAAATCTGACACTGATTCATAAACATGCACTGAAAAGTATGGCTTCATATTTTAAACTGCATAGAAAGCAATTTTAGCTTTTGAAGTCAAAACTTGTTAAATATAAATGTTACTTTTGTTGAGTAAGCTATCTTGCAATGTTCTTTTTTAGGTGTGTAGTATGCATGTGTGACTTTGAGTCAAGGCAGCTGCTTAGAGTTTTACCATGTAACCATGAGTTCCATGCCAAGTGTGTCGACAAATGGCTTAAGGTAATGTTATTTTTTAGAAAGAAAGTTGTTTTAATCATGTCCATATTGCACGCAGTAACTTTGTTTACTGGCAAGTTCAGAAGTGTACTTGATGCTTGGAGCAGTAGTTATCAAACTGTAAGAATAAAATTTATTTCTTTAAGGTGGGTCTTCTTGTTGGAGACTAGAAAGTGTTCTAATCTTTCCCAAAACAATGTTTTAAAAATGTCATTAAATATTTTTAAAAATGTATGTTTTAAGTTTAGCTGGTACTGCCAGAAATAGACGTAAGCCATTCTGCAAAAGAGGAAATTAGATATTTTAGAGAATGTCTTAAGTTCTATTATATCGTTACAATGGTAAATTCCAAAGAATCCGAATACAAAAACCTAATGTTTTGCATAGACAAAGTTATTAAGTTTTAATTTCAATGGCCTGTAAAAAGGCATGTGTATGAAAAAAATTTGGACAAATTCTTAAATAGAATTATGTGTCACTATTCATCCTATTGAAATTATGCAAGGACAGAGATTTACAGTATTATCTACGTTGGTATCATCACTAATGTACATTGCAGTTATATATGTATTCAACAATTTTATCTTATTTTTTAAAAAGAGAAAAAAGATTACCTTCAGTCTGCTGTACGCAGAACTTACCGTTGTTACATTATTTTTTATTGTGTATTTATGCATTCATTCATTGTGCACCCCCCATCTCACCTAAGTAATTCTGGGCAACTTAACAATAAACAAAAAAACATAGTATAAAAACATTAATAAAAACAAAGTTAGAAACATTTAAAAGGCAGGATTATAGTATTAAAAGTTAACAAGTTAAGGTAGAGAGAACCCCCCCTCATGATACCAACCATTCCCAGAGTTGCATATTTTGACCCCAATGGCTAGTTGGCAGAGCCAAGTCTTAACTCAGTTCCTGAAGGGGGGAACATCTCATCTCTGGGGGTAAGGTATTCTAAAGGGCAGCAGCAACAGCAGGGGAAACTTTCACTGGAATCCACCAGCTGAAATTCTTTAACCAATGGGATCCGTAATATACCCTCCCTGCCTGACTGGATGGGTCAGGACAGCACAGTTGGGGTGAGACAATTCCTCAGGTAACTTGGTTCATGCTATGAAGGGCTTTAAAGATGATAACCAACACCTTGAATTGAACCCAGAAAAAAACTGACATGCAAGCTTGCATAGCAGAGGTGTTATGTGTGCAACCCTAGGGCTGCCCAAGACTGCTTGCTTGCACTCTTCAAATTTTGAAGCCCCTTTGTACCATGTTTTATATGATTTGTTTATAAATGTTGAAATATTAGAGGAAATATTATAGAAATTTGGTTACTAAGGATTTGCATTTGTGCCATGTATATTATTCAGTTTTCACTAAGGCTGTCTGTTTTTGAATACTTTTTGCTTTGTTTTCTGATGCTTTTTGTTTTATTTTCTGATTTTAGGGAGGTATACAAAATAAATTGCACAAGCTCAGGTTTTCAGTGCTCAACAAGACAGTATCAGGCTTTCTTCTTGCATAGTATTTATGTATCTTTTGTGATCTACACATACATGCAAGCGCATAATATCCCTGAAAACCTCGGTGATTGTCTTCCCCTTCTGACACCATAGAACCATGGTGGCGAACCTATGGCACGTATGCCACAGGTGGCATGCAGAGCCCTCTTTTTGGGCACGCGCACCGTTGCCCCAGTCCTGGGCGTTCAGCTGGGTTTTATAAAACCTTTTCACTTTAGGCCTCCACCGCTGTGTGCCAAAAAGAAAAAAGGGTTAAATCAATCAATTTCAACTTCTTGTGGGAAAAAAAAAGATCTTGCAAAGTTGGAATTGATTGATTGAACTTATCACCGTGGCCATGCCCACAAAATGGGCCATGCCCACCCAGCACCCAACGATACATAAGTGGGTTTTGGGTTGCAATTTGGGCACTCAGTCTCTAAAAGGTTCGCCATCACTGCCATAGAAAGTTATTTTCACAATTGATCTTTAGGAAGTTTCAACTAAAAACATTTAGAACAAAAGTATATATTGACTTACAATTTTAAGTATGACTAATTATGATCCTTGAGGTTTGGTGTAGTTCTTTCATATCTGTTACTATACTGAGTATGGTCAAATAACCAGCCACCAAGTCTTGTTAGCACATTTGCTGAAAATGATGCTTTCTAATTTTAGGCTGAAATCTTATGTAGATACCAGCATATAAGGCATAAATACGAGTAAGAGAGATGAAAAATCAAAGACTCCCATTCCTACCCTCAAAATCTTTCCTTAATAAGTTCATTCCTCCAAATGAATTTCTACATCAGTTGAAGATAATATGTCATTTATTACAACGAATGTTTTTTTCTCTCCAGATGGGTGTTTTCTGTTTTGTAGTCCGTGAAGCCTTCCTTCAGTAAAACCCTCTTTTTTTTTTCTTTTTTTTTTTGCATTTTAGGCAAATCGTACCTGCCCTATCTGCAGAGCTGATGCTTCAGAAGTGCATCGTGATTCAGAATGACCGGTCTAAGAGCACAATTCTACTTTGGGTGTTCCTAGTCATGTGTGTGTGTGTGTGTGTGTGTGTGTGTGTATGTATATATATATATATACACACACAGATATATATATATATATATATATATATATATATATATATATATATATATATATATATATATATATATATATATATATATATATATATATATATATATATATATATACACACACACTCTCCATTGAACTTAACCCGTGTGGCTTCCAGCCTTCCCTTTACACAAAAGGGTCAATGGACCTTTCTTTGCACTGTGTGATTTAATCAACTATAAAGCTTATAATTAGTCTTCACAATTATGGGATTGTTATACTAACTGTGTGATTGGAACTCCAAAGATTTTTTTTTTCTTTTAGCTTAATTTCGTGTGTGCACTAACATTCCCTGGTTTTTGTGTGATCATTCCGAGTGTTGCTGCGAGATTACAGTGGAACGTGATCTTCTAAGCATGTGCTTTTATATAAAAAGTGGTAGCTCCAAACAATATAGCAATCTACCTTATATAGAGCCTTCAAATACTGTGAGTGAGAATAAATGGTGCGGGTGGGTGCGTTGATCGCAGGATGTCTGTATGTATGCAGGCGAGTAAGAGTTTGGTGATAGGTGTGAGAGGACTTATATACCAGCATGTACTGAGGATGTATGTGTGTAGTATTAATTATGCTGCAATGTATAATCTTGTGTGTTATTTAAACAGTACTAGTACTGTACACTGGTTTCTTTCCTTGCGTTTGCAGTTGCACACTGAATGCAAAGAGTGCAGCCATTATAGACATTTGATATTTCATCCCCCATGTATTTAATAGTATAAAAGATCCTTTTTGCTTTTATTCAGATAACTATTATGCTTCCCATTAATTGGGGGTCCGATATCTGTCATTATAGAGCATATTGATTCTCAGTTAGAATTAATTAGCCTTAATTTTAGGCTGCTGGAATTTCTACATTTTTTTAAAAAAAAACTTGCAGCTCACTGCTAACTGTATAAGGAGTTGCAGCATTGCACAGTCAGGTAGCAATATTAAAAATTCTCAACTGATAACGGAAAAGTTGATTGTGCTCTCTCTTTTTTTAAATTCTTCCAGTCAATATTGGTTCTTTTTGATTGAACTTTGGAATACGTTGTTTTTAAATTTCAGAGAATGAAGATAACTTTGTTTTGAGTGGTTTTTTTTTAATTTTTGTCTATAAATACAAAACCGAGAGGATCTTCAAATCTTGTGCAAATGCTTCTTGTATTGTTGGCAATATATTTGCTTAAATATACAGATACACTGGCACTAATTCACATTCCTTGCCATATACAAGCTACCGTATACAATTAAATAGCTTTTAAAGAAAATTTTGTTCCTTTTTCAAAGCCTTCAGTTTTGTGAACAAAGTAAACCCTTAGCACTTTCTTAGAGATAGAACATTGTGGTTCTCCATCTTAGCCATGGTACCATGTTCACCTTCTACTGCCTGGCAAGTGTCACAAATGCAGTTTCTAGCTTGCTACACTGGGTAGCGAGTTTTTGTGTGGATGTTAAAGCATCCTCAGTATTGTATGGATAGTATGAAGAATATTCATGGTCAAGAATGGGCGGGTATACGAAATCAAGAAAAAAAACTAAATGCTGTGAATTTGGAGTTGACCTCCTTTCAACTGCCTTCTGAATAATGTAGTGGTAAAATTGGCATCACTTAACATTCTGGACTTGGTGTTTAACTTTTTTTACAACAAAGGAAACAGTTGTCTACCCGTGGCTACATGGTTCTCCAAGAGAGCAACATTTATTTTTGGATTTCATTTATAAGCGCCAAAACTCTTGATTGCAACGGCACAAGCGCTGCAGCTATTGCTGCTAGTCAGCTTTCTGGATCTTGTGTGTCTTTTCTGATGCTTTATATGCTGCTATATATTGAATCTCTTTATTCCTCCAGAACAGTGTTGGTTGTGAATCATCCTCTTTTCTCAAAGCTCTGATGACTAATCGCAGTGTGTGGTTCTACAAATTAAAAAAAAAGCACAATTCCCACCAACCTTCCTTGTTTCAGATACTGTTTGCCTCTGTTTAGTAACTTAGACGCCTTAGTCTGTCCATAGTGTCAGGAACTGTAATCTGTGTGACAGATTTTACATGTTACAATTTTTCTCTCAATGTGCTCTAAGAAATTGTTTCAGTGTGTTGAAAAGTTTAAATTATTGCACATGGTAAATTTTATTTTTTTAAGCAAACAAAAATCATGGGTGGGGGAGTGGGAGGGAAGCCACACATGTTTTACAGGAACTCTGGATCTTTTTTATATTGCTGGATTTTCAAAAAAAGAAAAAGAAAAAAGAAAAAATTACCACGCAGAATTACCATAATACTACCCTGCTCATTGTCCACTGAGTATCCACTCAGTGTATAAACCCTGCTTTGATAAAAGTAAGAGGTTTTCTGGAACGCAGTGATGAGGCACATAGTATCTTAATTCCGAGAAAGGGCTTCCCAGCCCTGCGTCTGGATCCAATATTGCAGTGCAGCGTCTCTCCCTTGAATCCCCGTTTTCGTTTGAAGGACACTGTTGATGGAGGGAATAGGACTGCAGGAGGGGACTACTTTGGTAGCATATTCAAGTTAATTGTTGCACTCTTGTTGTGACAGATCTTTGTGAATGACTTGTTCGCTTGAGAGTCTTGCAAATATGTGCAGGTGTGCTTCCTGTGGTTAGGCTTGTTGTGTGAGACACACGCGCATGTGTTCTGAACCAGCTCAAGCTGGTTGCAGTGGAATTCGGAACCCATTGCAGCTGGCAGACGAGAGGGGGACACCATACTTTGCGGTAAACTGCCATGCATTGTGCATATCGACACATCTAATTCTACAGCCCTCGATGCCTGACAGCACCTGATTATACTATTGGGTAGCCTCTTCCCCCTTATCCCTACCTCTCCCTAATGGAAAAATAATAATAATAAAGTTGGCTTTATCATGTTGGCACTGCTGGGGTTTTATTTGCATGAATTGTCAACTTAATTTGACCTCCTGGCTTTTTAAAAAAAAAAATGGTATAAAGCCCTTAAGGATACCTCTTTAAGGTCACACCTCTTGGTTTTCTTTTGCAGATTATTTTGTGGAAAGTAATTTCTTTTGTATAAACTTCTTTGTACAGTCTCCAGAATGTGATATTTGTCGCAGCTGTTAAACATTTCCACTTCTTGTACTATTTGGGATTTACCAACTCTTAACTTTGCTTTCTAAAAACTCAGTAAAAAAAAAAACCTCTGTTATTTGTAGACATCGGAGAACCGTGGTTCTCTCACCTTTGTTCCCTTTGGTACCTTCAGTTACCTCATTTTGGTATTTTTTTATGTTGCAAATTTGCTAATGATTATAAAAGCTTATGGGTTTTGTTAGAATTATATTTGTCAAGTGTTTCCTTTAAGATCATACTCCATTGTATCATTTAACATGTAGTTTTAAATGTATTATAAATATCTGTAACCAAATCATTTGAAGGCTTGATAAATTTTTAACAAAATTTGTACATTTTTTATGAGAGTTACTAGTAATGCTTTACTAAGTAGTGCAATGAATTTTTATTTTTAATCCCTGTGCCCAATTTTGGAGTTGAGAGGGTTGTTCAGTAATAAATGTATGATGTACACTTAGACAACTTTGTGTTTTTTCTTCTAAACTAGCTCTTTAAAATCTATTAATTGGCTTGGGGACTTCCCCTTTAATTTAAAAATAGAAATAGAGGTTGGATTGTATTCTCTATATCCATATTTATATAGCCAGAACATTATTAAAGATCCAAATGATAATTTTATATTAATTTAATATAAAGTTAATTTAGCTTTGATACTTTAAAATTTCAGCAACTGAGGGTTTGGAAATGCCCAGTTCTCTTTAAAGAATATTGGTTTGGGTATTTATATATTATTTCTTTAGGGTATTCAAGTTGTTATATATTGTTGCTGTTTATAATACCGTTTTAATGTGCTGTGACTCAGTTATGCATTTAAACTGTCAGCTTACTAATGACTTATTACTACCATCTTTAGGGTAGACAGATGTGGGGCATTCCATTTCCAGATGGTTTATATGCAGTCCAAAAGTTCCTTTTGTTTCCATCTCTAATGTGCCAAAGCATCAAAGTGTTCCCCAGTCCCTATGCATTTGCATATTCTTATGTGATGGACACATATCTCAGTTTATGAAACTTTATTCTAATAATATCAAAGTTTGAGATTTGCATAATCTTTGTTTGGCATACTCTCGATATTTTGTTAGCAATGTAAGCAAATGGAGCTGAATCTAAGGAGAGTGGAACAATTCTGATTCTTCTCTCAGCTGGGTGAAACTGGGGTTGCATCCGAGCACAATGGATGGTGCTTGGCTAATAATCCTCCCTTTGTTTACAATGTATGATAACTGGCAATTTCATTTTACCTTTCTACTTCCTACTTTTTTCATTGCCACTCAGGATATTTTCAGTAGGAAGGATGCTCCTGGAAAGCTCCATATGCTACTTAAAAATACTTGTGCTTTTTTTGGATGTTGGAACAAACTCTCAGGCCTCTGTTCACCACCAGAATACTCTGTGGAAACAGTGGAATGGGATCATATTTAATATGGAGGGCAAAGCCAGCAAAAGTAAGATTTGAGTACAAAGATAGGCTACATCTTGCTGACAGTCACAGAGAAAAATACTCTGAAGAAAAATCCCCAGACCTCGTTGGAGAAGAATTTGGGCAGTAACTCAGAATGTTACTGACCATTCCATTCAAAGTCTTCTTCCCCCTTCTTTCCTAGTCATGCTTCTCAAGTTCACAATCTGGCCACTGTTGTAAGAGAGTTGAAAAAAAAAAGGCTCAATCAATAATTGCGTAATTATTCCAAGCACAAAACAGCACCATTTAAACTCAGCCCATTTCTGGAATGGTGTAGAACCCCAGAACACTTCCAATAGTTGGGGCTACTATTTTAGTAGTCAAGATACTTGATTTTGCCAGTGATTAGGCATACACAGGGGCACAAAAGTGGCAGCTCTTCAAAACAGCTGAAACTTTCCCA